CCAAGTTCAATCTGGGGTAAAAAAAAAAAAAAAAAAAAACCAAACCAAAACCAAATAAAATAATACTAGTATAAAAAGTATTTCCTTTCATCCAGATACACCTGTAGATGGATTACTGTTGTGTTATACAGCCTGCAAGCGCACAAATTTAGTACTCTAGGCCAGGAGTGGTGGCCCAGGCCTGTAATTCCAGCACTGGGAAGGCTGAGGCAGGAGGATCACTGAAAGTTCAAGGCCAACCTAATGAGTTCAAGGCAGTTTGAGCCACATAGTGAGACCCTGTCTCAAACAAAAAACAAAAAAACAGAAACAAATTTAGTACTTTTAACAGTTTTTAAAACTGTTTCTCCACTAAACTCCCAACCAACAGTATAAGCACACCCATTCCAACCTATTCAGAGATCTAATAAACTATTAACAAGTGGCTGATTAATAACTGTTAGGTTAGCTCACTGGGGCTAAGCAGGAATCAGAGAAAGTGATTTGTTACCAAGATACTTGGCTTTCAGAGCCTTCTGGCAGCCTGCAGTGAGAGAAGAGGAAACTGGTCATTTACCCATAGCACTGATTCTGCACTCCAGATGTGTGCGTGTCTATAAGGAGTCCCACTGAGGGAATTCAATGGTACTTTGCTGATTGTCAGACAATTGCCATTCCTCACAAAAATGTTACAGGATAGGGCCAGGGATGTAGCTCAGTGGTTCTGGCGCCTGCCTCGAAAGCGCAAGGTCCCAAGTTCAATCCCTGGTGCCAAAAAAACAAAAACAAAACAAAAAATGTCACAGGATAGCTAAGTAAAATAGAAGGCACACTGAAGTAGCTGTTAGGGTGGCAGCCACCTGTAATTTACTCAGCTCTCTGGGAGGCTGAAACAAGAGGATTACAAGTTTGGGCCCAGCCCAGGCAAATCATGGTCTCAAAATTTAAAAAATGAAAAAGAGATAGGGATGTACTTCAAGGCAGAAAAAAAAAGGAAACACTGAAATAGAATAAAAATTCAAAATTTACTAAGCATCATGTGAACTGTCCACAATGCAAAATTAGCCAAATATATTGTAGTATTCTTAGGATCAAAGTGGAAAGGACATCAGGGTTCTTTCTGAAAACAAATGCCTTGCAGTTAAAATCTATTCATTTTTTTTCTCTCCAGAATAATTTTAACCAAATTCTTTTAAAAAGTTGATTCTGATACTCTAAAATGGTACAAAAAATATAGCAAGGGAAAAACCTAATGTACAATGAAATTAAATGTATATTTATTTGTCCTTTGACTTAATCAATCTTGAAAGTTTAACTTGAAAATAAATCTCTACCAATGGGAAAAAATGTAAGTTTACTTTATTCACTACAGATTACTCATAGATGCTCAAAAATAGGGAAGACAGATTACTGGAGAAGTAGATATTTTAGGTATCAAAGTATCAAACTACAAATTATTTTCTTATTCAAAAGAAAAAGTCCACCTTTAAGATAGAGCGCTACAAAAAAAAAAAAAAAAAAAAAGATAAGAGTGCTACAATGATTAGTACCTTAAGCAGGTGTCAAACTTCCCACAAAAAACTGAGTGTGGTGACACCCATAATCTCAGCACTCAGGAAAGCTGAAGAGGATTGCAAGTTTGAACCAGGCCTGAGAAACTTAGCAAAACTCTCAAAAAATAAAAATTAAAAAATTGCTGAGAATGTAGCTCAATGCAAAAGGCCTCCATTCAACCCCTATTGTAAACAAAACAAAAAACTTTCCACTGCAAATAGAAGAATGATATAAATGCACTTGTTCCCAATAAAATGCCACTGAGAAGCATGCATTGCCTACAAAATATTTGGCAGATGATCTTTTGAATTTTCTACCCTAGGAGCTGACAGGCCAAGGCTCACTAGCCTAGTTTGTAAATCTGGCTATACTGTAACAAAGCCACACACCTGTCTGTTTACTAAAATATCTGGCTGCTTGACCATAACCAAGACGGAGATTGCTAACTAGACATTATGACCTCAAAGCATCCAACACTTACTAGAGGGGGCTTTTCACACAGTTTTCCAACCTCTGCTATAGACCCAATTATCAATTAAAGAAAGTCATGAAATGAAAAACTCAAGGGAGAAGACAGGGAGGGGAGGGAAAGAGATAAAAAGAATTAAGATGGGTTACGTACATGCACTGATTCCCTACCAGGAAAGCCATCATTATGTACTGCAAACATGTGGTAATAAAAATAAAAATTTAATTTAAAAAAGACACATTTAAATGTGCCATGAGAAGGCAACCATAAATAGCAAAGTGCTTTGACTTTTTAAATGAATGGGTGGCTCTTCAAAATACTAATATAATGGAGAATCAGGGACTAATTCCAGGCTTAACACATACACAATGAAACTGCAATTGATATCTCGCTCCTGGGTGGCTCTGAACCATGGGACAGTCATGGATGTATCTACCACCAGTGAGTTCGAGCCAGAGGGAACATGCTAAAGAGACTAAACAACATAAACAAATCCAATAAGAAACCTTGATCTGGGCATGGTGGCACCCAACTGTAATCCCAATGAGGCTAAGGCAGAAGGAATGCAAGTTCAAGAAGAGCCTGAGCAACTTAGTGCCTCAGTAAGACTCTGGTTCAAAATAAAAAAGGGCTGAAGAATGTAGCTCAGTGTGAAGATCAGGGTTGGAGAATATAGCTCGGTGTGAAGATCCTGGGTTCAATCTCTAGATCTGCCAGAAAACAAATAAACAAACAAACTTTGGATCTTAGATCCAAAACATCGCAAAGCCTATAGGGAGCTGGGGATGTAGTTAAATGGTAGAGCACTACCTTGAGCTCAATTCTCTGCAACACATTCATACATACACACACACACGCACGCACACGCGCGCGCGCACACACACACACGCATGCATACATACCTATGTTGGAACAATGCAGATAAATTTTGATTGAGTAGATATTACACAATGTTACTGTTATTCATTTTCTTTTGGCATGGGGTGGTGAGGATTGAACCCAGGGCCTAGCACATGTGACTGAGCTACCTCCTAAGCCTTCTTACTAACTTTCTTGATTTAAAGGATAGTCTTATTAAGACCTTATATTTAGGAGACACATCGCTATCTAAAGTTCACATAACATATCTACAATTTATTTTCAGTATGCTTACCCTCAAATAGTTTTCAATAAAAGGTATTTTATCTGTGAGCAAACATGAAAAAATGCTAAATATGGGTGAATCTACTACAATGTATATACATTATAATTTTATGTTGAAATGACCTGTAAGCAGTTTCAGATTGTTCTAAAGAAAAATGTGGGAAAATACTTAGTCCAATCATCTTCCCTATAGTAAACACAATTATTCTACTACTAGTGCAATAAAGCAGCTTTATAAATAAAGCTTCCTCGCTGGAGGCTGGGTTTTGAAGTTGTCTGGGGATGTACACAGGCCTAGAAAGTTCAGATGAAAAGGATGGTTGTGAATTTTTGGTTTATCAAAACGACTTGTGGACTAAAAACGTTCTGTCATATACAGAAATATGCATACCATAGACACCTAAGAAAAGATGTTTATCTTTCTAATGGAAAGTGACCGTAAGGCTGAGGATTTAGCTCAGTGGTGCCACTGCCTGCTCAGCAAGCGGAAGGACCCGAGTTCGATTCCTAGTACCAAAAAGAAAGAAAGAAAGTGACCATATCAGTCAATTTCAAATCACTGGGACAAAGTACCCAACACCCACAACTTAAAGGAAAAGTTTATTTTGGCTCATGGTTTCAGTAGGTTCAGTTCAAATACAGAAATAGCACAGTAGAAAAGCATGGTAGTTGGGAATTTAGCTCAGTGGCAGCGTGCCTGACTCGTGAGCTCGAGGTCGTCAGTTTGATCCCCGGTGCCAAAAAAAAAAAAAAAAAGCATGGTAGAGGAAAGCTGCTCATCACACAGCAGCCAGAGTAGACGGGGTAAGAGCAAGGGATAAGAACACATCCTTTCAGGTCAGGCCCTCAGGGACCCTCCTCCAACCAGCCATGAAACACTTTACTGATGAGCACAGCGTCCCCAAGATTCAATCACCCTCCACACAAATGAGACTTTTGGGTAGACACTTTATTTTGGTACCGGGGATCGAACTCAGGACCTTGTGCTTAAATCCCCGGCCCTGGGGGATATTTTAGATCTAAACCATAACGGTAACGTATGAAAACTACCTGACACGAAAAGGAAGAGGCAAATTCTCAGATTAAAGATTCATTTACCTTAAGAAAAGGAGAAAGGGGCCGCGGATTTAGCTCAGTACTTCCGCCGCTTGCCTTGCAAGTATAAGGACCAGAGTTTCGATCCCCAATACCAAACCAAAAAAAAAAAAAAAAAAAAAAGAAAAGGAAGAGGCAAATTCTCAGATTAAAGATTCATTTACCTTAAGAAAAGGAGAAAGGGGCCGCGGATTTAGCTCAGTACTTCCGCCGCTTGCCTTGCAAGTATAAGGACCAGAGTTTCGATCCCCAATACCAAACCAAAAAAAAAAAAAAGAAAAAAAAGAAAAGGAGAAAGAGGTCCTCTTGAACTTCTGGGGGAGGTGTGTGCCCGGTGCTATGAGCGAGCGCCCTACCCGCGAGCTCCACCCGCAGCCCTGCCCAATTCTCTCAGTGCTCACCTGAACGCGCTGCAACCGCCAGGTCCATGAGGCGGCGGGACACTGGGGACGCCGTCAACGTCCAATGGAGGAAATTATTTTACTTTTGCGAAAATGTTTTCTATTTTTTACAAAGGCTGCTTTGGAGGCTTTTGCAGAGAACAAAGCAGTGTGTGAAACACCCCCGAGACACAGTATAAGGACACCTGTAGACCCGCTCCTCGCAGAGCCCCACAGCCCGAGCGGCCTCTCGGAGCAGGACTCGCAGTAGGGCGCGCGCGAGCAGAACGTCCAGGCTCCTCGGCAGCTCCGCACAACCCTGTCCTTCAATGCGCTCCCAAACCTTAGGAGCTCTCCGCAGTCGCCCCCAAAAAACCCACCTTAGGAATCCCCCTCCACGTGGAACCCGTCCCAAACTGAATGGACCCACAACCGAGTAAGAAAGCAGGAGCCAGGTCGCGCGGAGATGCGTCATAAAGGCGGAGACTTGACGGCCGTGTCACATCCGCTTCCGGCAAAGGCGGGGTCGGGTTCTGGGCCTGTGCTCCTGGTAGAGTTGGACCGGATATGACGCGAGGTCTAGCTAACTCCAGCGTGGCCAGGGAAAGGCTCTGGGTTTGGCCCCGCACCGGGAGAGAACGCAGAAACGGCCCCGAGGACGTAGTGTACAACGCGGCCTCTAGGTGGGGCTGCGCGTTAGGGGTGGACGACGGATTGGACCAGACTGGCCGGTGTAGGTTGGGGTCTCATTCGTAAGGATGTTTATCAAAACTTTTTAGTATTTTGAGGCAGGCTCTAGCTGTGTAGTCCAGGCTAGCCTCGAACTTGTGGCGATCCTCCTGCCTCAGCCTTCCTAGTGCTGGGATGACGTGCGCCACCACGCCCAGCTCATCAAAAACATGTTTTACGAGTCTCTCCCCATGTTCCTCGAATCCCTATAGATTTAATGAACCAAGTGAAAGCTCAGTCTCCTTTCCACTTCCCATTCTTTGGATAAGAAAATCGATTATTTTCAAGTAGTTTGAAGTGTTTGTGCAGTGTGTTGGGGGTGCAGGTTTAGTGACACAGACACCAAGGAACTGAACCCAGGGGTGCTCTACCACTGAGCTATATCCCCAGCCTCTATTTTTAATTTTGAGAAAGAGTCTCACTAAATTGCCTAGTTGGGACTTGCACTTGAAATCTTCTTGCTTCAGCCCCAGTGCTAGAATTACAGACATGAGTTTAAGTGTCCATATTTATTAAGCCACGTTTGAAGAAATCATGTTAATTTTAGATGTTGTTTCTCCTCATCTTATACATGAAACTCCAGCCGATTTAATGGTGACGTTCATCAAACCCTTCACATGTTCTTCAAATAAATCAAATTTGGAATTCTGAGCATTTTCTGTAGTAACAAAATAAAGTAGAACTAGATATGATGCACATTTCTTCCTTACTGGACATCTAATCACATGAGAGTCAGTCTCCCTCTCCTCCCTCCCTGCTCTCCCTCTGCCTCTCCCTGCCACCTAGGGGTTTAAGCCAGGGGTTAACACTGAGATACGTCCCTGGCTCCTTTTATTTTTATTTTGAGACAGGGTCTTAAGTTTTCCAGGCTGAGCTTGAACTTCCAATTCTCCTGCCTCAGCCTCCTAGAGTGCTGGGATGACAGGTGTGCCCCACTCCCACTTCCTTTTCTCCATTGTGTGAGTCACTGAAACAGCAGCAACAGAGAAAGCAGGACCATGAGGAGACTGGCCTGGCACTGCCTAATGGCATTAGTTGGATTTGAGGGAGCAGTGGTTTTCTGAGAGAAGTATCACAAGAGCTGCTTGATTTGAATAAATCTGCATGGCTAGGGTGGTGCCAGAAGCAGTAGCCCCAGCCTGGCCACTATCACTCTGCTTGTGTCAGCTCTGTAAGTACACAGGGCATCTCACTGATGCAAGGTCTGTGGAGGTCCCCTAGCTCTGGGTGGGCATAGGCAAGGTGGGGTAAACTCTTTTGCTGTTTAGACCATTTATGTTTAATGTATCTGAGTATGTTGATTCAGTTGTATTGTTATGTCTGCGGTCTCTTTCTCACTTTCCTCTTTAACAGTTTTTTTAAATTAACATTTTCCCCCAGTACTCTTTTTTTCACTTACCTATTGTATTTTTGTTTTTAATTTGTTTTTTGGTACCAGGGATCGCACTCGGGACCTTGTGCTTGCGAGGCAGGCGCTGGAACCACTGAGCTAAATCCCTGGCTATTTTGCCATTGAAATTGATGTAGAACCTAACATTACAAGTCACATTCCCGCGTACCTTTATGTTGTAATTCTTACTGTTCTACATAATTTGAAATCCCCATCTTATTGTTATTTTCAACAGTCATATGTATTATAAAGAAATCTCTTTAGACAGCTGCACCCTGCCCTGCCGCCACTGCCTGCCTCGCCTCTGCCTTGGGACCAGTGGTATGACTAGGCCACAATCTTCAATGAGTAGACATATTCCTCAGTTCTGTGGTGTTCTCGGTCACACATTTATGGAGCTTCTGAAGGGCAGTGGAGATTACTGACAGGCACAGCATGACCTCTATGCAGACAAATGATCTGTAGAGATCCATTAATGCTCCACCAAGAAGCCCCCGTGAGAGAGGCTCACCTGGACACAGAAGTGGTGAATTGAAATCGTAGAGCATTTTACAAGAGTTCTGACCTTGATGGGGTAAACCTTAGTGCACTTCCTTTCTCTTGCCTCAGTATTACTGGATCAAAGGATTGCTGCTTCTCGTTAGGAGGTTCATTTCATTTCCCAGTACTCCCAACGCCATACTCAAAGCACTGAGAAGTTCAAGTGGAGTATATTGAAGTAGATTCCAGTTCTTGCATCATTTCTATTCAAGCTTTAAAATCTTTCATAATCCTCTTAAGTGTTTTTTTAAACTAAATTAACATGGCTTGAATGAACTGTCCGGCTCCTATGGAAATCACATACAAGAGCATGAGATTCCTCATTACACACAATTCAACCAATGCAACCTTAAACAAGGTTATAGAGGAACTTAAGAAGTATGGAGTTACCACACTAGTAAGAGTATGTGACGCAATATACGACACTACTCTTGAGAAGTAAGGCATCCATGTTTTTGATTGGCCTTTTGATGATGGTGCACCACTGTCCAACCAGATTGTTGATGACTGGTTAAATCTTGTAAAAATTAAGTTTCATGAAGAATCTGGTTGTGGTATTGCTGTCCATTGTGTTGCAGGTCTTGGGAGAGCTCCAGTGCTTGTTGCCCTAGCATTAATTGAAGGTGGAATGAAACACGAAGATGCAGTATGGTTCATAGACAAAAGCGGCTCAGAGCTTTTAACAGCAAGCAACTCTTATATCTAGAGAAGTATCTTTCTAAAATGCGACTCCACTTCAAAGACTCCAATGGTCACAGGAACAACTGTTGCATGCAATAAAACTGGGGTGCCTGATGTGACTGCCTTGGATGTGCAGCTTGAGGTGGGACCTGACTGTCATACAGATTAGCCCATGTGTTGGCTTGGTGAATGAGTCTAATGAAGCTTCCATAGGAGTGTTGCAAAGCAGTTATACAGGCTACACACATGCTTAACAGAATCTCAACCTCTGTGTTTGGGTTATGATCAGCCTATTTGGACAATTACCTCAAGATTCTTACTATTCAGCATTTAAATTGTGCTTATCATTTGTACCAATTGACTTCCCTGAAATCATGCAGTATTGAGTTATGTCTTTAAGGCTATTCTCATGCCAGAATCTTAATGATACATAAGAAATCTAGAAAGATTAGGTGCCAAAATACCCAGGACAATATTCTTATATTTTTAGTATCACATAGAACCAAAATTCCAGGAACTAAGAACACTCTAGACCTGTAGTTTATTCCTTCAGTCATTTCAAACATGGTAGGGCCTATAAAGTCTGCTCACTTTATGTTTACATCTCATACTTATACCAGTATGCATCAGGTTTGCTTAAACACTGATTGTTCTTTTTGATTATTACCAAATCTTACGGGTGATTATTTAATGTCTTTCTAGAAGTCTTTTATTTTGTGCTGTTCTGGGAAATCTCCATTTTGAAAAGTTACATTGTTACAGAAGCACGTCTTTAGTGTCTCAGACAAAAAAGCCTTACAGTTAATTTAATGCTTGCACTCTGAGGTGCAACTTAACACGGAGTGCCTGAAAAAAGACTAGGAGTGGGCTTATCAATATTTTGTTTTTGGTACCGGGGATCGAACTTGGGACCTTGCACTTGTGAGGCAGGCGGCAGAACCACTGAGCTAAATCCCCAGCCCTATTCAATATTTTTAGTAAAATGTTGCCTTTGTTTTGTGCAGAACATGTAGAATATGCTCTTTAATTTAGTAAATATCTTTTAAAAGGTATAGATGCTTTGTTATTGTAGCTAGAACAATTCTTTTTTTTTTTTTTTTTTTTTGGTACTGGGGATTGAACTCGGGTACTTGCGCTTGCAAGGCAAGCAGTGGAACAACTGAGCTAAATCCCCAGCCAGCCAGAACAATTCTTAATCATAAAATTTCTGAAATTCCTGTAATTTGTTCCCATACTTATCAGAAGTTGTTTACCAACTTATTTTTTATTTTTTCCTTCTCTTTCAAACCTTTTGCAAAAAACAGAAATTTCTGCTAATAAATTGAGCAGACATCTAATATTTTATGTGCCTTTTGAGCTGTGTAACTTAATATTTGGATATGTGATAATTTGTTTTATTATGTAATTGATAAAATGGTGATGTGTATTAATGTTAGTTCAACCATATATTTATACTGTCTGGGAATGTGTGGTTATAGTTCTGTGGCAGAAATAATTTGTCAGTGTTCACCACCTTGTAAAAACTTATTAGCGCGAGAGCTTAAACATTTATCATTGAAATCCATTTTTCATTGAAAAAAAATCTCTTTAGCTTTCACTAGTTTCACATTTGGCCATTTTCTTTAGCTTTACCATGTTTTAGGCTCACTGGACATCTTGAACCTTCATGTCTTCAACCAAATTGAAGAAAATTCTCATCATTTTATCAAATATTTTTACTGATTTTCTCCTCTTCTTCTAAGACCCCTTTGGTATTGTCACACAGTCCCTTAGGTTCCTATGGAAAATAATTTGGGTTTCTTGTTTTTGTTTGTGTTATTTATTTTGATTGTTTTATTTTGATTCATTTTGCTTTAGTACTGGAGATTGAACCTAGGGGCACTAGGAGATTCCCTCCCTGCCTCCCTCTCCTCGGGATTTAACCCAGGAGTTTCACACTGAGCTACATCCCTGGCTATTTTTCATTTTGAGACAAGGTCTTGCTTAGTTGCCCAGGGTGGCCTCAACTTGCACTCCTTCTGCCTCAGCCTCCTGAGTAGCTGGGATTACCTGTATGTGCTACCAGGCCTGGCATATTCTGCCCATTTTTATTATTACGACACTCTGAGTCTTAAAACCCTGTGGAGACTAGGTGTTTGATCAGGTAACTGACAAACGTGCATTCAGTGTGCAAATTTCAAGGCTGGGAACATAGCTCGATGGTAAAGTGCCTGCTTAGCATGGGTAAGAGCCTGGGTTACGTCTCCAACACTGAAACAAAAAAGTGTGCAAGATTCCGTGGGCATTCTGTGGGTTGTGGCTTCAATGTGCATTCTACCAAACCTCTCCAGTGCAGCTCGTGTATTAGAGCTGGAACACATGGAGGTTACCCTATCTCAGTCTTACTCTGAAGACCTAGAGAATGTCACAGGCACCACAAGATTGCCTCTGAGAGGCTGGGGACATGCAAATAGAGGGGGGAAAACCTCTCTCTCTCCACGCACACTCACACCTTTGCCAGAAATGAAGTCCTATGATAAACTAATATCCACAGATAAATGAAACTTGACATATGTCCATACCATCAGCAATGGTCTTGGTTAAGTGTTGAAATTTGAAACTAGGACTACAAGAAGTGTGGAAGACAAGGTAATAGAACATTTTTAAGGCCTTCAGGTAAATTTCTCCAATGTACAGTAAGTCTCTGACTTATGAATGAGCTCTGTTCCGGGAGAATGTTTGTAAGTCAGATTTGTTCCTAAGTTCAACAAAGTGAGTCTTACACAGTACACCAGTGAAAAGAATGTTGTAAGTCAGTGATTTATTAAAGGAATTGTTGGAGAAATTTGGGTACACCAAAATTAAGAAATTTATAAACACTATCACAACAGTGAAAACATGTAAAATGTAAACTCCTACAATCTTGTAATTAAAAAATGATTTGGTAGGCAAGCACGGTGGTACAGGCCTGTAATTCCAGCACCTTGGGAGGCGGAGGCAGGAGGATCACAAGTTTGAGACCAGACAACTTAATGGCTCAATTTAACAGGCAACTTAACAACTTAGCAAGACTCTATCTGGGCCGAGGATTTAGCTCAGTGGTTCTGCCGCCTGCCTTGCAAGCGCAAGGACCTGAGTTCGATCCCCGGTGCCCTCCCCCTAAAAAGAGAAGGCTATAGCAAGACTCTATCTCAAACAAACTAGATAAGCAAAAAGGGGTGTGTGTGTGTGCTGGGAATGTAGCTCAGTGCAAAGACTTTGGGTTCACTCCTTAGTACCAAAAGGGGGGGCGGGTGGCTAGGGATGTCGCTCAGTGGTAAAACATCTGCCTACTACATATGAGGCCCTGGGTTCAATCCCCAACCTGGCAAAAACAAAATCAGAAACAAAAGAAAGCAAAAAAATGTATACAAAATTACAAAATGACAAAAACAATGTATACCAAATTACCACACATGAGCCTTTAAGATTATTATTATCATTATTAGAGACAATGTATTTTTATGTAGCCCAGGCTGGCCTCAAACTCGCAGCAATTCCCTGCCTTAGCCTCCCAAGTGCTGGTTACAGGTGTGCGCCATCATGCCTGGCCTTTAAAAATTTTTTTTCCAGTACCAGGGATCAAACTCAGGACCTTGTGCTTGCCAGGCTGGTGCGGTGCCACTGAGCTATAAGCTCAGGCCCGAAAAGAAGTATTTTGATTTTTTTTTGGTACCAGGGATCAAACTTGGGTCCTTCTGCTTTTGAGGCAGGTGGCAGGACCACTGAGCTAAATCCCTGGCCCCAAGTATTCTGAGTAGGAAGGAGAAATATAACTGGAAGTATGAGCAGTCTGCACAAGCTTGGCCATATCAAGTTCTCCAGTACTGGCATTGTTCGAGAAAATCTATCTGAAAATTTCAGACTTGAAAACAGATTTGAAATTGTAGAGTTATCACATGTGCTAAAATGTATGAGTTTGACATAATCAAGGTAGAAGTGTGGAATTGTGTTTAGGGTATGAACTCACCGAAACATATATAAAAACATGGTTTTCTTTGAAACCAAGGCAAAGAAGTAAGGAAATCACGGACTGCTGTAGGGGGTAGTAGGAGGCATGGAGAAGACAAGTGGTACTTGGCTCAGGGTGTCAGTGGATGACTGATACACAGCCAGTGCCTCCTGAGGAAACAAAAAAAACTTTCACCAACTTTCAGGATAGCATAGATACCAGTAATCTCTTCAGGCTTTCCTACAGTCATGGAGTGCACAGCTGTATGTTACGACTAAGCTGACACCAGGATTATGCGGTAGGCCAACAGCAAGCCCGGGCACACAACAGAATCCCAAACACCAAAGTAAGAAAAGCAACTCTTGTGCATAGTTTATGCCTTAGGAGCACTGGTTCATGGCTATCGCTCTGGAGGAGGTTCTGATGAACTTATGAACTCATCTCCAGCAAAGACAGAGAAGTCCCCCAACGGCAAGGTCTTGGAGTTGGGGGTGTCTTCACCAGCAGTAAGCCTTTCAGGCAGAATGTGGACTGTGATATTGGGCTGTCATTTGTTAATATCACATCCAAGCCCAAGTGATGAGACCACCCTGCAGTATCAACTTCACCCCATGACTTCACATGCTCATACTCAGGAAGCTCTGAACAAGTTCTCAGGGGGAACTTCATACTTATTTCAGACCATCAGGATGGCACATAAGGCCAGTCTATAAGCTGTGACAACTTGCACAAGGGACTTGTCTGCTAAGTTTTGGTGTCATTACCAACAGTGAAATGTGGTAACCCATGGGCAAAGAGCAACATCACACCCACAGAAGAAAACTCCATCACCCACTCCTTACCAGAAACACACAACACAAAGGTACAGAGGTTTCTTCCATTCAAGATTTATTCTTTGCTTTGTTTTGGGTTACACCACACGGGGTGGATTAACAGCCCCAGAAAGACCTGCCAAATGGCTACAGCCCTGATGGCTGTATACAACAACGCAAGGTTGCTCAAGCATCAGAAGTATAAAAATTTGGACCATTGAGGCTGAATCCTGGTTGTGCCGGGATGGTCTGTACCTAAAGGCCACACATCCCTCACACATTCAGGAAGTGCCAAGATGGTTTCCAGCACTGTAAGACACGGTGACTAGCTGTGTTCACAGGCATTTTTCTGTTTTCACAGTACAAGGAAGGAAAAATCCAGATTTTACTACCAGTCCCAGCTGTTCCTTGACTCAGGCATATAAAATTGCTCTGCCAAGGGGCAGAATGTATATAGAACACTGAGGCCTGTCCCAACTCCTTGCACTGCCAGATGACACGAGATTTCCCTTTCTCAAATGCAAGTGCTCTCCTGTCATGACCATGAAACTGAGGCATCTCACACTACTAGCTATTCATTCATCCCATTTCTGCTCATCTCTTCTTGCACCCTCACCTTTTATCTGAAAGGATCAGATGCGAAGGAGGAATAAGGGTATTTAACCAACACTGAGTTTATACCCCAAACTTGGGTGCTGTGAGCCTCAGTAGGTGGACCATATTTAAGAACATGACAAACCAACCAAAGAACCTACAGTGCTTAACACAGTACTGTTTGTATCCCAAAGGCCCACTTTTTGCCAGGCTGCTACCCAGAAGTTGTAGTAACTTGAATGAAATGGTGTTGCTAAGGAGGGAAAGAAAGATGAAACCCTCCGGGATTGATCAGAACAAAATCGTAAATGTTTAAAATAAACCAGGACCATCTGGATGGCCATATTTTTGTCAGCATACCAGATTTCCGAATATGAGGACCAAATTCCTTTATGCCGTACATTCATTTTTCTCTTGGGTGTCAATCAGAACGTTTACTAAGTCCTGAGGATTAATGGCATGTACAAAATGACTTTCCAACATTCCTTACCTTCATAAAGTTTTCTCCACTGCGAGACTGTAAGTGCGGCACAAGTGAAGCTTAGCAGAACTACAACTTTCCCACATATTTTACATCAGTGTCTCCCTCCAGCATGAAGTCACATATATTTAATAACTTCCCAGTAAACAGTGAAGGCTTTCATATTTCCTTCTTTCAATTCATGGGGCATCTTGAGTATGGGTTCTTGAATGTCTTCAAATTAAATTGGAGTAACTGAGGGCTGCCCCTCATTCTTTACATGAATAAGGTTACTCATTGGTGTAAATTCCACTGTGATGATTAAGATGCGAGGAATTCCTAAAGGACTTTTGGCATTCCTCCCAGTCAAGGCGTTTCTGTTCTGTGTGAGTCACTAAATGGTCACTGAGTAGGCAAATGCTGCTATAGGCTTCCCCACATTCCTCACACTTATAGGGCTTCTCTCGGGTGTGAATTTTTACATGGTGAATTAGGTTTGAGGACGAAGTGAAGGTTTTCCCACATTCCCTACATTCATAGGGCCTCTCCCCAGTATGACTCCTGACATGTTCAGTTCGGCTTGAGGAGGTGGTAAAGGCTTTCCCACAGTACTTACATTTATAGGGCTTTATTCCAGTGTGAATACGAACATGCTTAGTAAGGTATGAGAAATACTGAAAGGATTTTCCACATACATGACAATCAAAGGGCTTTTCCACTGTGTGAGTTTTTAAGTGTTCATTGAGCAGATTACACCTATTATAGGCCTTCCCACATTCCTGACATTCATAAGGTTTCTCTCCAGTATGAATGGTTAGATGTTTACGCAGATAGGAGACATTGAGGAAGGCTTTCCCACATTCCTTACATATATAGGGTCTCTCTCCACTGTGAGTTCTTACATGTCTACGTAGGTATGAGGATGCATGGAAGACCTTCCCACATTCGCCACATATGTACGGTACTTCTCCACTGTGAGTTTTTCTCACGTGGTTATGGAGGTAGGAGGAAGTAAGGAAAGCTCTTCCACATTCCTTACATGTGAAGGGTCTCTCTCCACTGTGGGTTTTTACATGTCTCCGTAGGTATGAGGAAGAATGGAAGGCTTTTCCACATTCCCCACATATATAGGGTCTCTCTCCACTGTGAGTTCTTCTTACATGATTACGCAGGTAGGAGGAAGTAAGGAAAGCTCTCCCACATTCCTTACACGTGTAGGGTCTCTCTCCACTGTGGGTTCTCACATGTTGAGAAAGGCGTGGGGATGAAGCGAAGGCTTTCCCACACTGTTTACACTCATAGGGTTTCTCGGAAGCATGTGTTGGTACATGTGTAATAAGGCCTGAGCGCTTAGTGAAGGCTTTTCCACAATCCTTACATTTATAGGGTTTCTCTCCAGTATGAGTTCTGAAATGTTCCACTAGCCTCGAGTAAGTCGTGAAGGGCTTCCTACATTCCTTACATTCGTAGGGTTTCTCCCCAGTATGGGTTCGCATGTGCCTATTAAGGTTTGAAGAACGCCCAAAGGCTTTTCCACAAGTCTTACATGCATAGTGTTTTATGGTGTGCATTTGAACAGGCACAGCATGACCCTCGGAGTGGGTAAAATTTCCTGCATTCCATATATTTTGAGTTTTCATGTGTGTCTTGAAATATGAGTGTTCACTGAAGATTTCTCCACACTGCGTATAGTCACAGAGTTCCCCTGCACTTTGGCTTCCTGCCTGTGGATGAAGGGATGAATGATGGTTAAAAGATGTTTCAGACTTGTTAATGGATTCTACCTATCTGAAGACAGAAATATTATTGTTATTATGATTTCTGCCATTTTGATCACATGCATACATCCCATGCTCTGTGGATTCCCTTCAAATTGAATAGAGAAACCCAATGGTAAATACTCTGTGTCACCAGGCCTAATCTTGGACGGATTCCTCTCCGTTTTTATGAAATTCTTTTAAGACTCTCAGTACCCAGTTACATATGTGGGAAGGTATACTTGTGGGAACGCTGAAGCCCCAAGTTGAGAGATAGGATTTGGGTTTTACAATTCATCACATTCAGAATATCCCTCCAGAGACATTTCTCCCACTAGAATGAATGTCACTTGTCTCAAACATCTCTCCTTTGTGCTAATTGACTAGAAATGGATTCCCAATCTTTTCTAAGTGTAGTAAATAAGAAATCTCCCTTGTTAATCTCAGAGCTCACCACTATTATCACCTCTTTCCTGTTGACAAATAGATGAATGGTGATAAGTGCCTTATTTAGGATGTGCTTTACCATCGTTCTATGAAGATGATTATGATTTTTAACATTTTCATGACATTCTTACAGTTCTTGCCATGTTTTCAAATTGAATGACAGAACAACAGTACCAGAATCCCGATCCATTTGCCTAATCTTTTTTGTGTGTTTTTTTTTTCCCCTCGGTACCCAGAACCTTGCACTTGCCAGGAAGGTATGGTGCCACTGAGTTAAACCCCTGGCCCTATCTGCCTAATTTTAAAACTACTGTCAAAATATTCACAAACTTGATTTAAAAAGTTACACATGTGGGACTATGCATTTGTGGGGTCTCTATAGGATTTCATAATAGGTTTGGAACTCCCCCAAATTCATTATATTCAGAGTATTTCTTTAGATATATTGATCCTGCCTTGGTGAATATTAACTTATTTTATAAAACAGAATTCCAAATCTTCTCTGAGTGTGAGAAATAAGAAAGATCCCCTGTTAATCTTACTGTTGGTATCCCATTTGAAGTCTGTCCCCTCAAAAAATCCTGCTGAAATGCTGCCTCCTTGGTGCTAAGTTGCAATTCCCATTCTGAAGATAAGCAGAGAACAAAATTAAAGTTTAGAGAAAGAAATGATCATTTGCAGGAGTTAAAAATGACAAGGCTCATTTATATTCTTTTCAAACAAAACCTGGTTAAGAAAGAAAGGAAAGAAAGAAGGAAGAGAGAGAAAGAGGAACAAAGAGAAAGACGAAAAAAAAAGAGAAAGAAAGAAAAAAAGAAAGAAATTTGAGCATTTTCACTAGGTTAAAAATTTGGCAATGGCTAATAGTGTGAATCAGTTTTAGGCAGTTTATTACAAATTGACATTTTGAAAATTAAAACTGATGGTGAACAGGAATAATATTATCAGAAATGAAAAGCAGCCAAGACCTGGACAAAGAGTAACAAAAAAATGATAACAAAAAAAGAGAACAAGTCATTTTGTGAGATCATAAGAAAGCGTGGTTAGTCAGAAACAGTATGAGAAGTAGGGGATTTCCTACCTTCTCAGATAAATGGCCTGAAGCTTCTGTTATTAAGTGCATCTCAAAGGTTCCTCATTACACTTCCAAACATACTGAGCGTCTTTGACCACAGGTGTTCTTCATGAACACTCACCTCGGGGATCTCCTCTCTGCTCTGTCCTCCAATCCTCTCCATGTTCCAACCAGGAGATCAGACTGGGTTTGATGAGCTCACACCCTGCACACGGGAAAAGATGCATTCATGCAAGAGGTACAGGCAAGAGAGCACTAAATGTGGTTTAATTCAGGAGCCATGCTGCTAATGAAAGCAAGGAAATTATTATAAAAGGACTAAACATGAAATATCTCTTTCTGTGGCCCAAATCATTAGTTATATTTGAACTCTGAAACCCAAATGAGTTTTTATGCACTTGCTAATGCAGCACTAACCCCTTGATTCAACCAGAAAATAAACTGAAACAAACTGATACTTGGTCTTCTGGGGAAAAACAAAACTGTATCAGTGAATCTCACATATTACAGTACATCAGATTTATTTGGACGGCTTATTAAAATTCACACAACAGGGATCTACCTGTAGTTTCTGGTTCAGTATGTTAAGGAGACTACGCCAGGTGTGGCGGCACATGCCTGAAATCCCACCATGCAGGAGGCTGATGCAGGAAGATGAGCACAAGTTTGAGGCCACCCTGGGCTACACAGTGAGTTCAAGGCCAGCCTGGACTACATAGTGAGACCTCGTGTCAAAAAACAAACATAAAAAGGAGGAAGAGACTAATACTTTACATTTCTTTTCTTTTTCTTTCTCTTTGGTGTTATTAGGGATTGAATCCAGGGACTTGAGCATGCTAAACATGTGTTGTACTACTGAGCCACACTACCAGCACAGTAATCTACCTTCCTAATGGGGTGGCAGTGATCCCACTCACCTTGGACCACACTGGGAACCACTACAGTAGATAAAAATGGACAGTAGTCCCCTCTCATCCATGGTTTTGCTTTCCACAGTTTGTTACCCACCATCTGTGTCCTAGAAATATTAAGTATACATTTCCAGAAAAAAATTCGTAAGTTTTAAATTACACATGATTTTTGGTAGTGTGATGAAATCTCAGTGTCCCACTCTGTCCTGCCAGGGATGGGAATCTTTCCCTTGTCTATCACAGCCCCGCTGTAAACGCTACCGGCACAGTAGTCATTTACTAGCTACCTCCTCAGATTGCCTGCTACGGGACAGTAGTATTTATGTTTAACTAACCTTTATAACCTAAATAATGGCCCCACCCTTAGGAACATATCCCCCAAGAATAAAGCAGGACTACCATCCAGGGACAGAGGCTATGTCCCTCTCATTTCCCAGGGGACACAGAGTCCACATCACCCAGGCTGTGACACAGGAAGTGCACAGCCTCCATCTCCTCCCTAGGAGGCCGAAAGACACGACGGCGTTCTTACCCATGGAGGTCAGGTTCTCATAGTTCTCCAACATCACCTCTCTGTAAAGGTCTCTGTGACTTTGATCCAGTAAAACCCACTCCTCCTGGGTGAAGTCCAAGGCCACATCCTCAAAGGTCACCGAGTCCTGAATCATCACACACAGGCCAGCCTGAGTAACAAGCCATGGCAGTGACCTCTCCACCAATGTTCACGGGAGATGAGGGGCCAGGCTGATGTCCACACAGGGCTGTGAGGGTCTCCGCGGCCCAGCCAGGGCCCAGCGGTCCTAGGGACCTTCCTCTACCCACATCTGCTCACTGTCCCTCTCCTGCCATCATGGGGCTGCAATGGCCCTTCTGAAACACAAACTGGTCTCCCCAGAACTAGACTGAGTGCTCTTCTCCTCTTGTTTCATTAACACTAAAGTACAGCTCCTGAGCACAAGCATCTACTTGCTAAGAGAATGATCCTTGAATACCCTGAGGAAAGGCCACTTTAATTCCCTATCATCTGTCAGAGTACTGGGAACACAATAAACTCTTCACGAGTGTGAAGATTCATGTCTAACTGCTAATATATGAGGATGATTTTCAGATTAAAACCTCACTAATATCAGCTGGGGACTCATTCCTTTACTAAAGCTTTCTTGGCTTTAAGGTGGGGACATGAATCTATCTTGGCCAGAAATGTGTCCATCTGGCAGGGGCAAGCACGTCATTTTGTGGGACAGCTTCTGCATACCTGATAGCAGTTTGTCAGGCAGTCAGCCACCATCCTCTCTTCCTTTATCTTTTCTTCAAAAAAGGAGACTGGGTCCCTAGAAAGAAGAGCTCCTGGAAAAGAGAGAAGGCATGAGAATCTATGGATGAATGAAATTCTCACTCATCTGTCCAGAAGTCAGCCGCTCATCCTACATGAGTCCCATAGAGCCCAACACTTTTTTTCTTTTTCCAGTACTCGGGATTGAATCTAGGCAAGTGCTATACCAGTGAACTACATCTCCAGCCCTTCGTATTTTGAGATAGGGTCTCATGAAGTGGCTCAGGCTGGCCTCTAACTTGAAATCCTCCTGCCTCAGCCTCTGAGGAGCTGAGATTACAAGGGTGTGCCACTGCCTCCACTCTAATGCAAGATATTCCAGAAAATTCACACACATACATATGCTGCCACCATACAAGGCCAGCACGGTCCTGTCTCACCTAGAGCCAGAGGAAAGGGCCTGTGAGCCAGCTGTCCGCTGGAAAACTGTAACAGTCTCATTTTGCAAGTTAGGAAACTTCCAGCCACGGAGGTGGAAACACTTCTCCCTGTGATGAGAAATCTCATGACAGGGATTATGCAGCATCTCTCTGCAAAATACACATAGCAGGGCACTGATTTACCAACAGCATTCTCTGGGCCACTTGGGCATCTCCAAAATGAACTAAGAAAGGTATAGCGACTGCTCAGGCCTGAGCCACACAAATTTATAATATTCAGGGAGGACCTGAGTCAGATTCTCTGAAAAGGAACATCAGCAGGACTTGGCATGGGCACCATCCCATGAGCCTAAGGGCAAAATGTGCCTGAATGACCCTTTCCTAGATGCCCTTCACTGCAGCTTATGAATGTGAGTGATTAGGGAAATCTCCATTCCTCCTTAAACAGGGTTATCTGGAGTCCTGGTAACACCAGTCACTAGTCAGCAAACTGTACTTCATCATCACTCATCATATATTGCCTCTCTCTCTGCAGATGATTTCAATGGAAGCCACTAAAAATAGTATACTCTTAGCTAGGCATGGTGGTGCATGCCTATAGTCCCAGCACTTGGCAGGCTGAGGCAGGAGGACTATGAAAGTTCAAGGATAGCCTAGACTACATAGTGAGTTCAAGGCCAGCCTGGAATACATAGTGATACCCTGTCTCAAAAAAAAAAAAAAGATCCTTTATAAAATGAGTGTTACTAACAAACTGTCATTTATTGAGGACCAATATGTCTGAATTTCTATTAGGAGGATTATACATATGAGCTTTTTTTTTTTGGTACCAGGGATAGAACTTGGGACCTTACACTTGTGAGGCGGGCAGCAGAACCACTGAACTAAATCCCTGGCCCCTGAGCTCACTTATTTATCCTACCAACCCTTCACAGTAGACATCACTCCCCTATTTAATGATAAAAAAACAGATTCAGACAAAACAAGTAACTGTCCTGTATCATCTAGTTACAAAGCGGTGATCCTGGACTGAGTGCAGACCTCTGGTGCCTAAGCTCTGGTCTCCTGTCATTGTTGTGAGCATCACAGAATGGACAGAGGTCAGCTTAGACCTGCACTGGGCAACACAGTGGTCACTGGTCACATGTTACTGACCATCTCATATGAAGCGAGTATGATTCAGGATATTTTGGGGTTGAGACAAGGTCTCACACTTGCAGCACTCTTCCTGCCTCAGCCTCCCGAGTGCTGGGACTACAGGTATGTGCCACCATGTCTGGCTACTTGAAGATTTAAAAAATATTTCTGTCTTAATTAAAATTTAAACTAGGGGACCGGGGATTTAGCTCAGTGGTTCCGCTGCCTGCCTCGAAAGCGCAAGGTCCCAAGTTTGATCCCTGGTACCAAAAAACAAACAAACAAACAAACAAAAATAAATAAATAAATAAACTAGGGCCAGGGATTTAGCTGAGTGGGGCTGCTGCCTGCCTCGCAAGAGCAAGGGCCTGAGTTCGATCCCCAGTACCAAAAAACTTCATTCGGTTCATCGCAAACTTTAGAATATTTATAACCATTGGATGAGTAGTTTTTCTACTCTTAATTTTATGATACAATGAAAAATCAAGTATATCTCATAAAAATTTAGTGTTCAATGACTACTGAAGAATTAGGGTGAAGAATGTCATTATTCTCCACTATCACCACTCCTGTTCAATATAGTTCTCGAAACATGAGCCACAGCTAGGGCTGGGGATTTAGCTCAGTGGTTCCAGAGCCTGCCTTGAAAGCACAAGGTCCTGAGTTCGATCCTCAGTACCAAAACAAAACAAAGCAAAATATTAGCCACAGCTATTACACAAGAGAAAGAAAGAAAAGGAATAAAGATAGGAAAGGAAGAAGTTAAACTGTTACTATTTGTTGATGATGTGATACTCTACATAGAAGACCCCAAAAATTCTGCCAAAAGACTTCTAGACTTGACAGATTCAGCAGAGTAGCTGGATACAAGGTCAACACTCAAAACTCAATAGCCTTCTTATACACAAATAACAGACTCACTGCGAGAGAAATTAAGGAAACAATTCCCTTCACAATAGCATCCAAGAAATGAAATATCTAGGAATCAATCTAACAAAGGAGACAAAAGACCTCTACCCTGAAAACTACAGCACTCTGAAAAAAGAGATCGAAGAGGGTACAAGACAATGGAAAGACATCCCTTGCTCCTGCGTAGGAAGAGCCAACATAGTGAAAATGGCCATACTGCCAATCCCAACAGTATACTTCACAGAACTAGAGAAAACAATCCAAAAATTCATTTGGAACCAGAAGAGACCCAGAACAGCGAAAGCAATTCTAGGCAACAGAGACATGACGGGATATCACAATCTCCAACTTGAAACTATACTACAAAGCCACTGTGATAAAAATAGAATGGAGGGCCAGGGATTTAGCTCAGTGATTTTGCCGCCTGCTGTGCAAGCACAAGGACCCGAGTTCGATCCCCGGTACCAAAAAAAAAAAAAAAAAGGCTTCTGCACTGCAAGAGAAACCACCGACAGAGCTAAGAGACAACCTACAATGTGAGAAAAACTTTTTACCAGCTGTTCCTCAGACAAAGGTCTACTATCTAGAATATATAAAGAAATTAAAAAATCAGACCCCCCAAATCTAAATACCCGATTCAAAAATGGGCATCTGAAATGAACAGACATTTCTCAGACAAAGAAGTAAAAGCAGCAGACAAACATATGAAAAAATGTTCAACATCACTGGTCATTCGAGAGATGCAGATGAAAACAACGCTGAGATTCCACCTCACTCCAGAAAGAATGGCTGCTATCAAGAAATCAACCAATAACAAATGCTGGCAGGGCTGTGGGGAGAAAGGAACCCTTCTCCATTGTTGGTGGGAGTGCAGATTGGTGCAGCCACTGTGGAAATCAATATGGAGATACCTCAGAGAACTAGGGTTAGAGGTCCCATTTGACCCAGTTATTCCTCTGCTGGGTATCTTTCCAAAAGAATTAGAAGAATCATACCGCAGTGATATATGTGCACCCATGTTTATAGTGGTACAGTTTGTAATAGCCAAAACTTGGAAAGAGCCCAACTGCCCATCAACTAGACACTGGATAAAGAAGATGTGCAGTTTTTTTTAATAAAATGGAGTACTACTCAGCCATAAAGAATGAGAAACTAGTGACATTTATAGCTAAAAGGATGCACATTGAGGCCATACTCTTAAGTGAAATAAATAGGACACATATGTGTAAATACCGAATAGTTTCTCTGGTGTGAAAAACTAAAAGTGGAAGTAAGGTTCAAATGGTATAATTGATAATGTGAAATAGAAGAAAAAGTCTAAAGGAGTTGGGGAAGTGGGAAGGGTAGGGGAAAGGAAAGAAGGGAAAAGAAAAAACATGAGAAAAGGAAAAAATGGAAACAAAGTCTCTGTAAATAGGGAAGGGTGGAGGGGGTGAAGGGAGGGCAGGGAAATGGGGAAAAAATAAGAACCAAGATACATCATGTAAAGGTACAAGATCCCAATGATGAATGTAACTGTATTTTATACCTAAACTGTACCAATAAACTTAATGGAAAAAACACCTAACCTGTAAAGAATGTAATTATCTGCGTTTTTATTATTCCCCTCCAGCCCCCCACCTCTGGTACTGGGGATGGAGCCCAGGAACTTCAAACTGAGCTACATCCCCAGCTCTTTTAAAATTTTGGGACAAGTTCTCACTAAGGCTCTGTTATGGCTTGTGTCTAGATGTCCCTCCAAAGCCTCATGCAGAACAGGTGGGGCTTTTCAGAGGTGACTGGATCTAGAATATGTGACACTGGAATTGATTTATGATGCAATGCTAGGCTCAAGGGCACTAGGATTAAGGGTGTGAGTGCTACCCATCCTAAGTAGCCTGGATAAGATATAAGGAATAGACAGAGCTGTGGTCATCCCTTGCATGCTTTGCTACCTTCTGCCCACCATGAACTGTTTCTCCTGTGCAATCCCTGTCTGCTGTGCCACCCTGCCTTGGAGCCAGGTGATTATGGACTGAAACCTCTACAAACTGTGACCCAAATAAACCTTTCCCTCTTTAACGTTGGGTATCAGGTATTTTGTCTCAGCAATGAGAAAAGTAACTAAGACAGCCATTGACTAAGGCTGGATTTGACAACCCTCCTATGTCAGCCTCCGAGAATGCTGGGATTATAGGTTACCATGCCCAGGTGTAGTAATTTTGTTTTTTCAAGTACTAGAGATTGAATTTAGGAGAACACTACCACTGAGCTTTATCCACAGCCCTTTTTATTTTGAGACAGGGTCTCCCTACATTGCCCAAGCTGGTCTTGAACTTGCAATTCTCCTGCCTCAGCTTCCTGGGGAGCTCTGATTATAGGTATGCACCACCAAACCCAGATCTAGTAAGTCTTTTTGACAATGTCTGAGGTTAGAATTCCCTATGTTTTACCCCCCCCCTCTCTCTCTCTCTCAGAGAAGGGAGAAGGAACCCAGATATAAAATATGTAACAGTTAATGTTTATAAGTAACAAAACTTGCTTTAATCTTTATATTTCTTATTATGAGATGAAAAAGAAGACAAAGGAGGAGAAAGGGGAGAAACAGG